TTTATCCTCTCGTTTTCTTCCAGATTCGTGTTCTTTTGCAGGAGAGAGGTGCTCAGGACAAACGGATCCAGGATATGGAATCTGAGTTGGAGAAGACAGAAGCAAAACTAAATGTAGCAGTCAGAGAGAAAACATCTCTTTCTGCAAGTAATGCTTCACTGGAAAAAAGGCTTATTGAACTATCCAGAGCCAATGAACTACTAAAGTCTAAGGTAGTTGAACCTCATGATAACATCAAAATTGAATGGTGTTTACCTTCACATTCAAGTTAGCAAGTTACAAATGGAGCTGAGGCTGTTTATTCACTTACACTATAGGTGTAGGAGTTCTTGATTTCACTGGTCCCAGTCACACAAACTAGAATGGTGGTTTGACATGTTAAGTACTCTTCTATGTCAAGAAGGCAAGTAAGGTTTTGAATAGAATGTAGTGGACTTCTGTAAACCATTATTCCTGCTGGGACTATTAAATTAACTACTTTAAATATTAGCCTACTTCTGTAGGATTGTTTTTACCTATTTTTTTATTATAGGGCTTAGAAATAATTAATGGAATGAATCTACTCAACACATAAATTGTGTTTATAAGTAAATAATATACTAATAGATCCTAAGGAATGTAGTAACCACTGGCAGAAATAGATGGAAGAGGCAAGTCACTGTTCAATTGAATTTATCATTTATTCAGGGCCTGTGACAGGCTCTGCTCTTTATATAAGGAGTAAAATATGTAGTAGAGCCCAAGGGAGATTCTGAACTGGATGGCCTGGACTAGACCCCACATCCTGTATGCTAATTCTGTTTTCTCCTTGATTTCCTGGTTTACTTTTGAAACAGTCTAAGTCGATGGTTCTCAACTTTCCTCATGCATACAGTCAGTACTTGCTGTGGTCAAAGCTGTTTTCTCTGCCAAAGTACATTGCACACAATTAATAGCTCCATTGACAGGCATATTAATCAGTATTACTTATAAGTAATTTTTTTTGAGACAAGGCCTTATGAAGCCCAAGGTGACCTTGAACTCTTGATCATCTTGCCTCTATCAAGTGCTGAGATTAAAGGTATCTGATACCATACCCAGACTTAAGTAACATAGCATATGGCTTGGCAGAAAATATTTCTGGATTTTTATGTTTGTTGTAGTTTTCTGAAGATGGTCACCAAAAGAGCATGAGAACTCTAAGCCTGGAGCTGATGAAACTTAGAAACAAAAGAGAAGCAAAGATGAGGGTGAGTACTGCCTTTGGTGTGTCTGCTGTCTCTTGACTCTGGGGACCCAAGAACTTCTCATTTCCTAAAGTAGTTATCTCTGTTGTGCAGAGTATGCTGGCTAAACATGAAGGCATGGAGCTGAAGCTGCAGGCCACTCAGAGGGACCTTGTAGAGTCACAGGGGAAAATAGTCCAACTAGAGGGAAAACTGTAAGTGGTAAAAAGGAAAAAGATTGTTAAGTGTGATGATTCCTTAACTTTTTTCCTTAACTGTTTTATCAAGCTATTCATATTAATGGGGTTCTGTAGTGTTTTAATGTAAACATACATTGTTTAATGAGGAAATCAAATTAAATATAAGAATCTCATTTCCTTAAAGTGAAAAATCCTAGTTTTTTTTGAGTCATACCCAACTCAATCTGTAGTCATCTTACTGTAGCATACCAACTTCTTCCTCCTCTCTGTATTAGAACTCACTGACCAAACATTCCTCTTGACCAACCATTGCCATGCTGGCCTTTCCCTTTTTTTTCCAAGTTTCAGTAACTGTGTTCTACCCTACACTTCTACGATAATCAATTCTTAAGTCCACTATTTTGTAAAACATGTGGTATTTGTCTCTGTGCCTCGCTTGTTCCACTTGGCATAATGAACTCTAGTTCCATCCATGATGATGTAACAAATGAAAGGATTTTCCTTTCTTTACATGCTTAAGTACTTTTCTATAGTATGTCTTTGGATCCATTCATCTCTTGAATAGGTGTCCATGGCTTCTCTGTCATGGCTGTGTGAATACTGCTGAGGCTAGCATCGGAATGTAGCCATTACTTGCACATGGCGATTTTGTTTCCATAAATATGATTGTTGATCTTATGCTAGTTTATTTTCAGCTTTGTTTTCTTTTATGAAAAACCTATATTCTGTTTTCCATTTTCAAAGTTTATTTATTTATCTTTATGTGTTTGAGTACTCTGCCTGTATGTATGTATTTGCACTACATGCATGCCTGGTATATGGATCAAGAGAGGAAATTGGATCCCCAGCAACTGTGTTTACAGATGGTGGTTGTGATCCAACATGTAGACTCTGGGAATTGAACTCAGGACCTTTGGAAGGGCAGCCAGTGCTCTTAACTGCTGAGCCATCTCTCCAGTTCCATGTAATAATCACTCTTGCATTGCTGCTTTTGCTCAAAGTGTCTTGATTGTATGGTCTTACATTTTCATAAATTGTAGATTTATTTCTTTGTTTGTGAAGAATGTCTTTGCTATCTTGATAGAGGTTGCACTGAATCTGTGGGTTACTTTACATGATAATAATATTAATTCTTCCCATCTGTAAATATGAAGAATTACTTAAAGCCTTTAAATTTTTATATCATCATTTTATAATTTTTATCATAGAAAATGATCACCTCTGTTGTGGTTTGAACAACACATGGTTGTACACAAGCTCATATTTTGAACTGGATCCCAGTTAGTCATGCTATCTGGAGGCTGTGGAAACTTGAGGAGGTTGGGTAGGGCTAGAGAAAGTAGGACTCTGGGGATGTGTCCTTGGAAAGTTTAAAGCAAAACAAAAACATTGGAAGGGGTCAATGAAAAATGCAGCATTTTTGAGGTGGAGGCAAGAGCATTAGAAGGTCAAAATCAAGCATGCCTACAGAGTTAAGCTTTCTTCAGCTCCATTTTGTTTATTTCTGCTCTTTTATTGTTTCCTTTTATTAATTTAATGCTATAGTAGGTTGTTAAACAGTTTTTTGTTTTTTTTTTTTTTTTTTTTTTTTTGCCTTTCTCTGAAAGCTGTATTTGATACTACTGTTTCCTCAACACTTTCTTCATTGCCTTCTTTAAACTTTTGGGGGGTGGAAACAGTTTTGAGACAAGGTTTCTCTGTGTAGCCTTGGCTATCCTGGAAGTTATTTTGTAGACCAAGCTGACTTTGAACTCAGAGATCTGCCTGCCTCTGCCTCCTGAGTGCTGGGATTAAAGACGTATGCCACCACCTCCTGGCTTTTCCTTTTTTTGTTTTATTTTAAATATTTATTTATTATTATGAATACAATGTTCTGCCTCCATTTATCCCTGCAGGCCAGAAGAGGGCACCAGATCTCATTATAGATGGTTGAGAGCCACCATGTGGTTTCTGGGAATTGAACTCAGGACCTCTGGGAGAGCAACCAATACTTTTAACCTCTGAGCCATCTCTCCAGCTCTCTTCCTTAACCTCTTAAGTGACAGTTAAATCATAATCATTCTCTAACATTACAAATGTTATTCCCTTCGATTGCTTTTGTGCATTTTTTTGTTTTGTTTTTGTGTGTGTGTGTGTGTGTGTGTGTGTGTGTGTG